CCTGCCAGCTATCTGGGCCTGAGTGTTCTCTGCACTCAGGACAAGGACCCCCGTGCCAGGGTGAGGACCCCACCCCGGGCTCGGCACACCCACCTCCTGCCGGGGCTTGTACAGGTACTGCTGCAGCGTGTGGTGAGTGGCCATGTCCTCTGTGTCACGGATGCTCCTCCTTCTCTGCTCCAGGGACTGCATATCCAGGCACACGGCACTGACGTTCTCCCTCCTACATGGGGGTCACAGTGATCGCCCGCCCTTCCGGCCCCTCACCCCATAAGCCCGGACACCTCCAGCCTCCTGGAAGGCCTGTCCTGGGAGTCTTCTCCCTCAGGGTTTCAGCCAGACCCCAAGAGGACTCCCCACCCCCCCCCCGGGGCTCCCTGACCCCCTAAGTCAGCCCAGCCCAGCACCTGCACACCAGCTGACGAAGCCCCAGCCAAGCAGCACAGCCCAGCACAGGAGGGAGGTCCTAAGTCCAGGACCAGTGTGGGGGCGACCAGGGATGGGGCTTCAGCCCCAAACCTCTGCCCTGCCGGCTTCCTCTTCTCTTAGTCTCACACCAGGGCAGACACTAACCTTACTGCAAGTGTATCTGTGCAGGGGAAACTCGTGGCACCCGTGTCCACACCCTGCGCTCCTCTCTGCGCCCCTCCCTGGGGTCCAGTGCACATCCCATTTACGCTCTCAGTTGCCTCAAGATGCCCACTGGCCAGTGTGTGCCCAGAGGGGCCCTGCTGCCTGTGACTAGGAGAGCCTGGGAAGTGCAGGTCCGGGGAGATCCCCGCCCACGGCAGCCTCCAGGGTGGCGGCAGGAGGTGCCCAGGCGAGGGGTGGCTTCTGGAAGAGGCCCGTGTAAATGTGGGCACGTACAGGAGATAGGAGACAGAGGCCTCCACAGTTGAGGGCCGCGGTGTGCTGAAGTCCACGTTGACCATGTTGTCAGTGCTGGGGGAGCGGATGAAGGCCAGGGACCCACGGCGTTCTCCCTGCGGGGAGGAGGCAGACTGTGCCAGCCCACACCGTGGAGCGCCTGGAGGCCAGACAACCACCAGCCTCTGGAGAGCTCAGGCCGCAGGTAAGGCCTCGCTTGAGCCGAGTGGTTGGTGGCTGGTGGCATGAAAAACTAAAGACAGAAGCAAATGTGAAGAACCCAGCCCCTCAGCGGGCACGGCACACCAGGGAACGCCGCAGCTCCCCACAGGACTGGGGATGTGTCCCTTGTCCCCACTGGGGGTCCCAACCAGCTGCCCTCAGTTACCCCAGAAGGGAACCCCCAGGCCTCTGTCCAGATTGAATCAGATCAAAACTACGTACAGCAGAACCCTACATGAATGAAAGTCAAAAACAGCCACTCTCCTTGGGTGGGAGTGTGGGGCCATGTGCCAAGGGGGCCACAGAGAGAAAGCAAGGGCCCCTTAGGGGAGGGCATGGGGCTGTGAGGGCACCAGAGTGAGGGGCTGACGTGGCCGTGCAGGAGACTCAGAGGCACAGCCCAGGAGGACACATCACCCCTGCTGTGACCTGAGCCGGCAGAGCCAGGCCTGACCAGGGAGGAGCCCACGTCACGGGCCAGGGGCACTCAGTGTGCTGGGCAGTAGGGGCCCTGACAGCAGCCTGCACATCCCATGTGGGGGCTGGGGGCCTTGGAGTGTCCAAGGGACATAGGACTTGGCCAGCAGAGAGGGACAGTCCCTCCCGCCAGTCCCACCAGGCTCTAGGCCACGAAGGCCTCTGCAGTCCCACCAGGCAGAGGTTCGTGCTCTTAACTTTCCCAGCCCAGGGTCAGAGGCGCAGACAGACGATGGCCTTGTCCCTGCTGGTGCCTGGAGCTTCTGGGTTGGGATTTCGGGGGGACCAAGGTCGGCACTAGCCCAGTGGGCGGTGTAGAGGCCCTTCCTTTTCCTCATCTCCCTGTGTCCCTGCCCCTCTCTGCCTTGTGGTGACCCCAGGCTGTGCTGGGGTGTCAGGCTATATATTTGGGGTGGACAAGCCCACTGGAGGACTCACTTTCCGCTCTGAAGGGACAGGTGCTTCCAGGGCTCTGGCTGTGCCCTCCGTGTGAGGTCCGTGGGGTTTGCCAAGGTGGCCCCGTCCCTCCAGATGAAAATGCGGACCCCTAGCTCACCAGGCTCTGTGTAGGCCTGAGCTGATGAGATGCCCGTGACCTCGGGGCCTAAGGGCCATGTGTGCAGACACACATGGGGCAAAGGCAGCTGGGTGATCAACGCAATGGCCAAGAGATGGTCACACGTGTGCACTGAGAAGCCAGGAAGCACTGCCTGGAGGCATGTGGCCACTGGGGAGGGGGGGCGGGAGGAGTGGGATTTGACCTGAGCCCTGCCATGACCGAGTCACTTGGACACATCCTGTACTGACCAAGTGGCTGTGAGTTGGCACAGGGCACGTGGCGTCAGAAACAGCAAGATCCAGAGCGTCACCGTGCAGCAGGGCTAGTCCCTAACCCCCCACATGCTCCCGAGCCCGCTCATTTTCTCCACACCCTGGACGCACCCACCAGCCTCTGGTTGGTGGGGAGCTTTCTCTGGCGCATCAGCCTCAGGGACACGGGAGCGGACTCATTTGCCTGCAGAAGGCAGGGGTTCTGTGGGTGCAGGAGGGTCCTGCTTACCTGCAGGGCCGGGGGATGTGGAGGCCACCTCAGAACCACAGCCTGTTACCAGGCATGTCCCATGTTGACCCCACAGGACTCAAGACCTCCTTGCCGCATTCCCCTTTGTGCGCATGCCCGTACGTGGATGAGCGTGTGTAGGCACGCATGTGCATGTCTGTGTGCACTATGTGGGGGTGGGGGGAGTCACGACTCCATAATGCCCTACCTGGCCTCAGACCTCAGACCCATCAGGCGTCCTGCAGGGAGCTGTAGGAGAGGGCTCTGTGCCCCAGCTCCCACAGCCATTCTCAGGGCTTTGCGCCATGAACATGTCAACCCCCGCACGGGGCTGCCTGGGCCTCAGGGTGCAGACAGACGTGCATGTGAGGTGCAGGCCCGCTGCCCTAGACCCCATGGCTGGCCACATCCCATGTCTGCGTGTTGTTTTAGCCCCCAACCCAACAAAGAGAACAGACAGAATGTTCTGGTACCTCAGCCACATAGCTAATGGCATCTTTCAAGTTGAGTTCGTGGAAAACATTCAGAATCCGATCTCGTGACTTCTGTGCCGACCTTCTCATAAGGATTTTGCTAAGGAATTTCCTATCGAAATTGGACCACCTGGGGGGTCAAATCCACACAGATGTTAACACTTGGGAGGATCGTGGGACCCTGGCAGCATGTGGGGGCAGGGAGCAGCGGGCCCCCTGTCCCACTCCCAGACCTGTAATGGACGTGGTCTCCCAGGAGCTGAGACCCGGGAGATTCCCGCCCCTCCCCTCCGAAGTTTATTTACGGTAACAACCTTGAGGGTGAGATTTAAAATAAGACGAATAACCCTCAGGGGCTCGATTTCCCCATCAGTGTTCTTCCTGTCAGAACGTAGAATTCTGAATTCTGTTCTCTCATTCGATACAATATTGCAACGTTTTCCACCTGACGGTTACCTAACACTCTGGAAAGGGTAGGGCAGGCTGAGGACAGGGCCCTGGGGCCCTGGCTACAGTGAGAGGGACATATTTTACCTGCAGAGGGACTGGCTAGAGCAGGAGGAACCTCTGAGCTCCCACACTTAGAGAGAACCAGGCTGGCCAGAAGGAGGCTTTAAATCCAGCACAGTTAGAATACTGGCCAGTGGTCTGGGGCAGAAGAGGATGTGGCCAGGCCAGAATTGCAGAGGAACATCTAGCTGAGGTCCAGTGGGCCTTGAGCTAGACATTGAGGGGGAGGGGTTGCCCGAGGAGGAGAGGTCT